CATCGGGTGTCCTCCTTTTAAGATTTTAAGGGATGTAAAAAGAAGTTTCTATTCAGCCACGTTGGCAAACACTGCTCATAAATACAAAGCTTTTCTAGTTATTTTATGACACACCTTCCTGTTTGTTGTTCATTAAAGCCTATGGAGAAACTTTCATCATTAACTATAAGATGAATCACACAGGGTTAAAGCAGGACAGGGCGTTACTCAAGAGCCAATTATCAAAGGAATAGTTTGACATTTTTCCAAATATGTGTCCTAACTTACTCTCTGAGAGTTCAATGAGAAGATCAATACCCATGTCTGTGTGGTAAATATGGGGCCTCAGCAAACGATTAGCTTAGCTTAGCTTAACACAAAGACTGGAAGCAAGGGGAAACAGCTAGCCTGGCCTGGCTATCCAAAGGAAACAAAATCTGTGACCAAGGCGGACTGACGTGACGAGCATTTGTATGTGGGGCCCATGTGGGTAGTAAATGGGTTGGAAAATGGGCCCTGCATGGGGATTGTCCATGGGCTCCATATTGCCCCCATGCCAATTGCCCACATCGATGGTTTTACCCATGTGGGCCCCACGTGGTTTTGCTAGGGCCACCTGGGTACCATGTGGGTATAGGCCCAAAATGGGCATCTCATCTGGGGCCCACTTGGGCAAACCCACATATGTGGGCAATTTGCATGGTGCCAATATGTAACCCATGAACAATCCCATATATGGCAAATCTTTCAGCCCATTTACTACCCACATGGGCCCCACATAGAACCATTATTTGAGTTGCATGTGCGGTCTGCACCTGTGTGAGAGTAAGTAGCTCTCTACACCAGAAGGCGACAGTTTGCTGTATTTATCCTTTAAAAAGGGAAACCAGAATACAGACAGGACAGATTCTAGACTCTAGTTTGCCAGTTTTTATATTAACAACACAACCCGATGTTGAAAAAACAAAGCATATTTACTGTGCACCAGCAAGCAATAACGATTTTGAACCATTTCTATTGAAGAGCTCAGTGGCTAAAAAAGTAATCTTACCTCATATAACAAGTCTGTTTCGATCTCACGCACTCTTGATTTTAGCTGTTTGTTTGCTTTCCTCATTTCAGTGTTTTCTCTCATACATAGAGCTGAACTGTCAATCAAAATGAATTCACTCAATGATGAGCTCTGCCAGCTGCAAAGGTCGACAAGTTCCAACAGTGTGGGACATAGGGGTGGGCGACATGGCCCTAAAATAATATGATTGTAATGGCTAAGCCAACACTTTAAGCCACTGAGATACTGCACCTGGGATGACTTAATTGATGCACTGATTGTTACCGTGTCTGGTGAATTAAAGTCTGACTCAAACTCGCCAGATTAACACTCCCTCCATTTATTTTCCATCACAAACTTGTTAGTGGCCATTAAACTCAAAACATCCACACGTGTAACTCCTGCAGCAACAAGCTGCTTCAGTAGTCAAAAACTGTTTTCCCTTCCTGGTGGTATACCTAACCAGACAAAGAAAGGTTCCTACTATATATACTGTAGTAATGACGATATTCTTGACGATATGACAAATTAGTAAAAAAA